TAAAGGCAACAGGTTATATCTCTATTGATTCTGGCTTATTTCCTCTACATAAAAGAAGACTTTTTGCTGCCTTTGATAATAAAACATATACCAGACTCTTATTATTTTTATTGGTAGAAGCCCTTGCAGTGTGTAACTGTTAGTACAAGAATGAAAAGTTCTGGGTAAAAAAATTAAGGGAAAGATATGAGTGGAAGTTAACTTTTTGGAAGTGTAATTTATATATATGAAAACACAAAATGTTTGTTTTTCAGTTTCCTATCACATTTTCCATCTGGTATCTGCAAAGCTTTGAAATTTCACTTCCTCTGTGCAGTTTTGCAATATTCCTATTCACAGGAAGTAAGAGGAAGAGCTTTATGAGGGATACATTACAAATAGACTGTATGTAGGTATTTGGACAAAATAGCTGGGCTCAAATCTGGTCTGGTATAAACTGAGGACCCTTCAATGGAAGTATGAAATTCACCTTGTTTTTGACCTGGTGCTTCATTTTGCAGCACTGTTTATTTTTTGTACAAATTGCTGTTATTTTTTTTCCTGGTGCTTTTCGTCTGTGATCTCAAAGCACCTTATTAAGCAAGAATGAGTCTTTACAGTTTTTAGACTTAGTAACTGTAAATACAGTCTGTGCCTAAGAAGTGCTTCAAAGGCCAGGAGTTGGTAGCAGACTTCACTGATTTGCTGAGCCAGGCCCCTTTATTCCCAGCTCAACATACTATCAATGCACTGCTTTCCAGTGTAAATGAGTGTTTCATAAACAGACTGAAGAATAGCACAGCTCTCAACAGCTTGTGAAAACAAGAATAAAACAATCAGTTATAGCTTTGTGTCTTGATTGCAAAAAGATTGGTCTTAGGACTCATGAGTATGGCAAGAACATAAAGGCTCTGGTGAATTGCACTGTTCTGCTCAGATTTCCCTCAACAACAGGAACACACAATACTACCAGTGAGGAGTGGCTGATTACTTGCACAGTTTTGTAACAGCAGCACTGAGGTTATTACAATTTACATGTTACATAGCAAGGCTGTAGAAGCCTACATAGAGCCATTCTTTCCTTTTTTTTTTTTCTTTTTTCTTTTTTCTCCTATTCATTTTTCCTTTCATCACTGAAGGCAGCTAGAGTCTTCTAGTGTGAAATTCAAGAGAAGAGCCAAGCTTCCTCTCCTTTAAACATTCCAAATGATTGATGAACTCAAAATCTGCTTCAGGACCAACATCCAAGTTTTGCAAATGGTATCTATCTTACTAATTAGCTGATCCAAACCTCCAGATTTCAAACTACAAACGTAAATATCCCATGACTTTAATGAATCTCTGGTCCAGCTAGAGGATACTTATTCTGTTACTTATTTATTACAAATTTCACTTCATTTTCATATTCTTCTTCATATTATTTTCAGAAAAATAAGTTAATTTCCATAGATGCAGACTGATTAAAGTTATTTATTTTTTTTCCCTGAAAGCTTGAAACAGTCCATTCACAAATTTTTCCTCCCTCTTGCTCCTTCTCTTGCCTCCCCTTTCCCAGCCCACAGGTATAACAGAACTGCTTTGCAAGATGAGCCTTAAAAGTCGATGAACATGAGCTTGTAAATCTGGCTCTTGAACAAGCTCTATTATTTTTAAGTGCTTTTGTGTAAGACAGGAGGCTATGTAAAGAACAGGATGTTTTGAACATTGAACTCTGGTGCATTACGTAATACTGCTGCTACAGATTTGATGTAATTTCTCTGCAGGTGTCAAAGGCATCATAAAAAGCATGCTACTGAGATGTTAAGCATTAAGTATATATAAGCCCAGTGGAATTACTGATATTCTCCACTTTTTTTAGGAGATGCATGAGGTGAACCACTTCTGTCTTCCTGGGCAGGTAGGGCTGCTATATTTCCCTGAAGTAGGGAAGGATAATTCTATTTGTATCTACTCTGCACGATTACTCTGTAGCCAGTTTCTCAGTTGCTCTTCTTGCCTCAGTCCCTCGGGGAAATTCAATGATACAGAAACTAACCCTTCCAAATAATGCAGGTGTCAGAGGTCTGTGTAAGAGGAAGGCTTGGCAGAATCTCTTGTGGAAATTTACACGACATCTTCCCACACAATGGCTGGACAGTGCTGTTCTTCCTTCAGTTGTCAGGTGCATTGGAATGTGTATAGAAGAAAACCCAAAGAAAATAGGAGATCCAAGATTCTAGTGCATGAATAAAATGCAGTTATTGTTGGAAATACAAACCATGATTCATTTTTCAAGCAATTTTTCTTGACTCATTAGTACTTTCTGTCTTGCAAAAGTGAACTTTGCAGTAATTGAGCCACTAAAGAAAGAAGATATCATCATATTTTAGTAAAATAATCAGTTAATTTTGTACTTTTTAAACTTTTGTCAGGGAAATTTCCCTTTCTGACCATCAAACCTGAGTTTAAGAGTCTCCACTTATAATACGTGTGTTAACAAGGGCTTGGCAAAACATGGTAAAAACATGGCTCAAACTAATGTGGTAGAACAGTGTTGTAGTGAGTTAGGAGCACAATACTGAAAGGGACTTCTCTGAGGAGGGAATGCATTATTTGTTCTGCTGGTCCTATATCTCTCACCCATTCAATTTCAACACCCTCTTCATGCTGCACTCATTTTGTGTCCTGGCTTCTAGATACATTCCTCCATGGTCACTTAGCATTGTCTGATATCATATTACCATCATACACGATCCTTTACAGACAACTATTATCAGCTTTACGCTCACTTATTCACAAATTAGTGCCATTATTGTGGTGGATGAGCTAAGAACTGTGCTGCTCTTCGTGTCCTCTAAGTATCACTTTTCCCCTGGGCCACTCATTCAACATGGGGTGGGAAAAGTCACATTCCTTGCTAAATTCAGCTACTGTCTTATGAGACCTGTCTGTGTTGCCTTTCTGCGTGGAGATTCTGGCTGTTGGAAACACCTTTTCGATCACCCAGTTCGTGTTTCTGCCTGCATGAGGGAAGCCCCAGTTGTACATTTACCAGTGCTTTGGCAAGCCTAAAAAGGGACCATTTTTTGAGGTAATTTTGATCCCAATCTTGCCTTCCTGATTTGATACACCTTTTTAGTGACCATTTTGTCCTGACATAAATGACTGTACAAGGCATAAGGTAATGATGGTCTGTCTTTGGGGGCTGGCTGGAGCACATGCTGGACACTGGGATGAGAAGAAAAAGTTGGAAGCGGTGTCCTCCTTCTGTTTCTCACAGAAGAGCTCATAATGTGACACATTTACTTGGTACAAGGACTTGTCCTCAGTAGCAGATGTGTTCTGCTTGCTTGCTGGGGTCTTGTTGAGCTTCTCTATTTCCCTGTATCTGAGAGAATGATTGCAGTGCCTCCAGTGATGAAAACCCAGAGTGAAAGTTATGCATAGGAATAACTATTATTTAATTTATATTATATCATATATATAATATAATATTTAATATATATATCATATATATATATAATATTTAATTATTTATTCATCCATTATTACATATGTTCTTCGTGGTCAGAATCGAAGCACCTTATACCTTACAGGAGGTAAAGGAAGAGAGAGAAGAGAGCTCAGTATCCCATCCAGTCAATGGAGTGCTAAGGAAAATCAAGTCCCATAGACAGCTGTATGCTGTATTGCCAAGTCTTAAAGTTTTGTTTCAAATCTAGTGATATTTGATATTTTTAAGCCTTCATTCCTTAAATCAAAGGATACTGCGATAAAGGATACTTAACATTCCTTTTAAAAAAGAAACTCATAATCTTACAGTGTGTTGGGAGGGTTTGAAAACTAACAAATTAGGAGACAAGAAAGGATGTTGCATATACTCTTTGAAAATCTTATGACTTTTTCTCCTGCAGCCTTGGGATTTTTTAGCTTTGATTCACAATTTTTGAAAATCTGGAACAGCTGACAATATTTCTGTCCTTTTAAGGTGTTGCTATTTAATGAAGATGGTACTCTGAGGATAGCTTCTCTGGCAAAGGAATGTTTTTAAAATGCATAGCTCATCTTTTAGAGTCCTTGGCACAATGGGGCTGTGAACCTTTGCTGAGAATTTCAGGCACAACCACAGGAAAAATAATAAATAAATGAGGTATCTCCCTCTATCCAGAGGTGCTGTATGGAACTCCTGTTAAAGTACACATTTGCAAATAAAAGCAGCCTAAATTTAACTATGACTCAATTACACTAAATCTGACCCATTTTTGTTCTGTGTTTCAATTTAACACTTATTTACATTCTTAGACTTGGCTCTGTCGGAAGAGAAAGGAGGGGGAGCAGGCATTTTCATCCTCAGAATTGCTATAAAAAAATGGTGATTAGGAAAACACAGCTATAGTCAGCCTGAAGCTGGGTAGCTCATTTGAACCCACTATAAAAGAAAAGATCATTTTCTCATCCTATTAAAACTGAGTTAGCAACGGCTGCGTAGGCGGCAGGAGATCAGAAATGAACGTCCAACTTGGAGTTCGTACAGCTGGGGTTGGGTCCAAAGCAAACTGCCTGATTAGTGAAACAATTTGTTTTTTACAATGACAGCAAATAGGTAAATCTTGTGAGCGTCAGGAAATCCTGGAGGATTTTGAATGGGAGCACTGACTGGCTTGCGAGTTGCAGTTTGATTAGAAGGCATCGCTGCCTCTGGTTTTTGTGCTCATGTTGCAGGGACATAAACAAGAGGGACTCAGTTTTCTAGGGACATTTATTCCTCTCTCTCTCTTGTTTTTACAATCTATGTGTAATGACTAATTGGCTGTGTTTTCCCAGCTATTTTATGTTTCTCTTTCCCTGGTTACAAGTCGTACTAAAGCAGCGTATCCACAGGGACCTATAGACAGCCAGCATTGCCAAATGATACGCAGCATTCCCCTTTCTCTCTAAGTGTAAAACATTTACAAGTAAATTTACAAATGCATTAAGAACATTTCCTCAGTTGACTGTTAGTGTTTATTTCTTCCCCTTCTCCTCCCGGGAGCAGACACCTTCCAGCCCCTCAACTTTCACACGCTGCTCTCCCGTTATTTGCCTCCTTCCCTCCCTGTCGCCCCTTTCCCTCCTCTCCCTCCTCCTCCTCCACCTCCTCCTTTTCCAGTTCAGCGGCGCAAATTTCTGTTTGTGCCAGTGGGGCGGCCTGGCGAGACCGCAATTGCTCTACCCCACAGATTGACGAGCCCTCAGATGCCGATTTACTGTACATGGCAGCCACGCTGGAGCCGCGGCACATCTGGAGTGGAGTAAGCTTACTGAGAAACAGGGGCCAGCTCCAGCCGGAGCCAGCGGAGCCGAGCGCGGCGCTGAAAGGCAGCCCTCCTGCCTCCCCTTCCCTCCTCCCCGGCTACATTTCCTAATGTAAACACAGGCCAGGGGGGAAGGACACAGTAACTCTTTGCTGCGTGTTTGTCATTTCATGTTCTTTATCTGCTTGAGGTCAAACTGGAGCTCTGGAAAAACAGAAGCTTTGCTTTCATTCTAAATAGCTGAAAGCCAGCGCTGCTGAAGGGAGCTAAAAAAAAAAAAGAGAGAGAGAGAGAGAGAGAAAAAGAGTTTGCTTTCGTGTTTATTTGTTCCAATTTATGGTAATTTGGGGGATAATTTCATTATCTGCAGCCAAATTGAAAACAAGCTGTTGTCTACGCTAATGATACCAGTGTATTATTTTATGTACAGTAGGCGTGGAGCTCTTTAAACTACAAGTGGACTGCATTTCTGCTTACAGCTGTACTACTTTAACTTCTTTTTTTTTATAGTTGCAAAATGAGACTTTCCTTTTATTATCTTGAAACAAAAAAGATTAGCCATGGCTGCTTTGTTTTACAAAATGGTGAATACCTTTCACCGCTCAGTGCCAACCTGCTGTCCCACAAATGCATTCTGCAAAGGACGTTACTGCAAAGCAAAAAGTGTGCTTGTTCTGGGGCAGATATGCTGATTTTATAGTCCAGTTCACTAGACTGCTGAATTTTAATATCTACATGTAAAGAAGTGGGAGAGATTTTTTTTAAGGATTTACTGACTGTCAGCAAGCTGGAAGAGAACTCTGTGATTCTTAACAAGTTTAATGTAATTTTTATTCCTTCTTTCTAATAGCAAAATGATAAAGTTTATAGGTTAGTTGTTCAAACAACATTAAATCATAAACAGAATCACAGAATCAAGTAGGCTGGGAAAGACCTTTGAGATCGAGTCCAACCCGTGACAATGCAAAAATGCAATTTAAAATGGCTTTGCCCTCTCAGTATTCCTTGCAACTCAATGGATTTTGCAGCCAATAAAGGGGAGAAAACGAACCTCAGAAAACATTGCTGATAACATACTGACATTGATGTTGATTTAGCTGTCTTTATAGTAAAAGTGATGAGATCAGTGGTTTATCTGGTATGGAGACTAGTGAAAAATCTCGCTCAGTAAACGTATGAATAAACCACTGCGGGTCAGACCTTAAACCATTTTTGTCAATAGAAGTAGAAAATCTTTGACATCCACATGGTTTTCCAGGGGTGTTGCTTCATTGTCTCCTCTCAGTTCACAGGCCATACTCAACATTTCGGCCTTCTGGTGGATAAAATTCCAGGTAAGTAGGTTGCTTCCTTGGCTCTTAGTGAAGGCAAAGCTGTCTATCACATAGGAAAACTTGAGCCTGGCAGCAAGTGAGGCTGGACAACAGTTTTTGTACCATTGTAATGCAAAGTTTCGGCAGTGCATTTCCCACTCCCCCACTGGGCTCTTCCAAATGCTGTTGTGTGTTCTGGGTAGATATGCCATAATACTTACACAGAAAATAGCAATATAGTTTTCACATTTCTTTATTACTGTTTCAGTTGATTTTAGTAATTCTGTCACAACTGTGTTTTCTCTTACTTTCATGGTGTTTCAGATCCCAGTAGGAAAGGGCCAAAATTCCTCATGAAACATCTTGCCCAGGTCTCAGCCTTCTCACAGAGGAAGCAGTGAACATTACCTCCTTATGGCTACTTAGGAACCGCTCGAGGTGAAACCCCAAGAGGAGGGGACTCTGCATGGGAAAGGTGTCAGTCAGCATGGAAAGACTGAATTGCACATCTCCAAGGTCTGTAATGACCTTCCTGTGCCTGAAGTCAGGAGCAGCATCATGGGTCCAGGGAGAAATGCAGGGATGGCACACCATTTTGCATAACCTGTGTGATTACTGGAGATGGATAAAATGGTTTCTTTGCAGTGAAATGATTTATTTGGAAAAAACTCCACATATCCACATGGAAAGGCTGATGGAACCAGTCTCAAAAGCAAAGCTGTTTGGCAAACTTCAAGAGAGATCTTGGCAGTTGACTGAAATCTAAAGTTTTTCAGGGACAGTTGGATTTTAGCTGAGTTCTTCTGGAAGCCTGGAGGGCTCTGGCTGGCAGACCATTGCTCAACCTTTTGACTGCCAGGGTAGAGGATTGATGGCCTATCATTGCAGGACGGCCCACCAAGTAGCCTACCTTTGAACTAAAGACCTCAGGCCTTCCAGGTTTCAAAACTGGGACAACACTTGTTTTGAAACTTTCTTGATGTGTTTTGGTATTCATTGGAAATATTTTTATGAATTACCAAATCCTGACCCCAAAAAGTGTTCCACAGGAGCTTTTTGAGCATCTCTATTCTAGTCTAAGTTTAATGACCCTGAGGGAGAAAAAATAAGTTCCTCCATAAAGGAGAAATCAAACTAAATCCAGTGAATTTGAATTGTCTGAAGCCGTACTTCTGTGCCCCTTACTTACTGGTCAAACCTGCCTGTAATCCCACTGGTGTCCTTGGACATCCAGTAGATTGGTTTGGGCTCAGTTACACAGTTCTAATCTTAATTTTAAACATTATATCTTGGTAGGAATTGCTTAAGTGTGTTTTTTTTTTCCCCCATTCCATTCAGTGCACATTTGAAGTTGATTCAGCTCCTTGTAATGCCAAAAGTGTCCATGAAGTCTCAAAATGAAATAATCTTGGTAGATGACTATGCATCCTACTGATTATGCTATTGTTATTATATTAATAGCATGTGCTTCAACTGCACAAGCAATGTGCAGGTGCAAAACTCTCATTCAGCAGTACATAACTCTTTCATCTGCCGTTTCTTGCCAGTGGATTTCCTGCCGATATGTTTCTTGTGAAATTTCTGGAGAATAGCTGCTGGAGTTTTGCCAGTTGTAAGAAAACAAATACACAAACAACCCCTTTCCAAAACTCAACCTTCCCCAGTCATCTCTTTTTGAAATTACTAATTCATGATAGATGTTCTGCATCTAATAAATATTACCAATTGTGACAAAATAAACAGTGGGGATTAATGTAACAAAGGCAAAAGTAAAAACTCTCCTAGTTGTGCCAGTAATGCCACCTCAGTGAGCCTGTGTATTGGTATGCCCTTTTGGCTCATGTAGGTACCTCACTTTAAATATGTGCCCATGCCTGTCTTCAGTCATTCGCTCTGTAACATTTCCTTCAAATCTTACCATATGTATTAGGTTTAAATATATTTATTCTATCTATCTATATATAACTATTATATATATATATATATAAATTATATATATTATATATAATATAAATAATATATATTTATATTATACATACTATATATAAAATAAAATAATATTATATATTATATTTATTTTGCAAATAGTAATCAATTTTTAGAGAAACGTTAACAGTGTGGGTTTTTTTTTAGGTAAGCAAGACTTTATCTACACATGTGCTCAAACAGCAGTGAAACCTGTGGACTAGCATTCAGAAACTATGTGTATTCCAGTAGGCTTCATGCTTTGTGATCATCATTCAGAAATGAAGACAGGAGAGCACTTGGAGAATCAGAGGGGATTTAAGGGTTTGAGAAGTGTATCAGTAGGTGTTAGTCTGCAAAAACATGTGTGTGGGAAAAGGGCAGTTAAACTACACCTATGAGTACTGTACTTTAAAAGGCAATAGATCTCTTTAAAATCTAAATAAACTGAGAAACCTTCCTAGAAGTAAAAAAAGGAATTTCCAGTTTCAAGTGTGCTATTTCCTTTCAATGTGATTATTTACAGTATACCTTTTCCATGTTTTTTGCAAAATGTTATTGACATCCAAATGGTATTTCAGCATATTATGACAGATCTGAAAGTCAAACACAAATATTTGCAATATTTTTGACCCCAGTATAAACTGTAAAAAATTATCCTGTTGTACTTTGCCTGCTTTCAGTGTTTTTCCTTTTTAAAGCAGTAGAGGAGTCATTGAACTGGACCCTGCCATTTGTTATTGGCATTTCTCAGAAGAGTAAGAACAGTCGTCAATTATATATTTTTCCAACAAAAACATAAACTCAGTATATAAATGTTCAGATTATAATTTCACCGCAAATATATGTGTAGCCTAAAAATAAACCACAATAAATGTTAGACTAAGCAAAAATGAAGAATAGCAAAGGAATGAAGTAGAGGAAAAAAGAGGGAAAAAAAAGTAGAAAGAAAACCACAACAATAAAAATTGCAGGCAATTTTTTTTAACATAGTGGCTATGAAGAAAAAGCACGTAAAGATGAAGTTAAGAGACAGACAAAGGAAACTATCCACAAAATTGTTGCAAAAGCACAATTTATTATTACCTGTCAAGTGAAATTGGCATCACAGTCATTGCAGTCAAGTCAGGTGTCCTGGAACACAGCAAATAAAACCAGATTCCAAAGAATTTCAGTGATCATCAAATGATGATTTAATTACTGTATCAGGCCAGATGATTTAACGACAGTGTTCACTATCAGGTATAATCAACCTTCTATGCAGACCATGACTAAAATCTCTGATTCTAAATTATTCCTGTAAGTGAATTTGAACAAATTTGGTGCTTTTTAGTAGATTCAGCCCCACCACAGTGCACAGTTTTATCTTTAGGTGAACATGTGCAGCTCTGGATAATCAGTAAGGATTGTACAAGTGCGACAATGGGCAGAGCAGGGCCTGTTATTTTTCATTAATTTCCTAAAGTCAAGTTGTAGTACGAGTATGTTCCTCATTAGTAATAGCACTACTATATTGGTTTTCCAACAAACCTTGCAAAATATTTCATTACTTTTTGGTCCACTGAACTACTGAACTGCCAGTTCCTAGCAGAAAGGAGCTGTAACTGAATCACTAGTAAAAGGAACAGGAAATTAGATAAAAGGGTAACACTGGTTTAACATGCCTAAATTAAAAGGTGTTAGTTTCAAATATAGAGCCTTTCAATATATTTTCCAAATCTTCAAAAGTGCCTGACTTCTGTTATTAAAATGCTGCACTAAATTAACTGATAGAGCAGCACTGTTTCTGTGACTTGCAATGATTTAGTCCATGTAACCAAAAAATAAGGTGAAAATTCCTTACATCCTGATAGGCACCATGATCTCTCTGGAAATTAAAAATCTTAGGGTTTGCATGATTGCAGCATGATTATTGGATAGACAAAGATTTATTTTCTGATAATTACATAACAAAACATTATTTGGAGGAAGCCAGCATTGTAACCAGATAAATATCCTTGTTTATGCTGCCTGGAAAAGTGTGGTAGGAACAGTTTTTGAAATACGTATAACAAACATTGTAGAAAGAAAAACCTTTTTAACCTTCACTTTTGGCAGGGAAGAGGAATTGTAAATGTAGAACAAGTTAAGTTGGACGAGAATCCTCCCACCTAATTTAGCCACCTGTGTTAACTATACCCATTTTAGGTTTCCATTGGAATCAGTGGAGGATGAGAGATCTCCAGAAGATAATCTGTATTTTAGCTCTTTGAATTGTCAGCTGCTCTCAGAGGAGTTCTCTTTCCATTGATTGTAAAGGACATTTAGGGGCCTTACAACCCATGGGTAGCTGCCTATATTTAAAAAGGATGAAACCGGAACATCCAGTATACACCATAAATATAGGACTTACTGCAGAGCTACATAACAAGTGGAGTTCTTGGTCACATCTAGGAAAACCCAAGCTAAACTTCTCTAAGTTAACATCAAGCCAAAGTCCACTGCTAGGAGTGGAGGAGGGTGAGGAAAGAGAATGCATCCTGGGTGAAGAAATAAAACATTTTCTCAGATGCTTACTCAATAGTATTATGCTTCGGGCTCAGGATGTTGCTTCATTGTCAAATGGCTGATCTTTCCTTGTCATGTTTTCCTATTGTTCTCCATTCCTTAAATAATCCTGGCTTTCAGCTGCGTTTTTTAATCCATTTAATTCATTTTCAAACCCCCTAAAAAACAGAGATTAGTTTAGCGGATCAGGAAAGAATTAGAAAAAAGATTGCATAATGGACCTATTTAAATTACACAGTTGCTACTTGCCTTTGCATAGTAATAAAGATGCAGTTAATAGCTTCCACTTTATTTAGCTGCTAAATTCTGTTTTGTTTCAGAAACCAACTCCACTGCAATAACTACATTGTTCTTTGCTCATTAATCTCTATTATTTGCTCTTCTTTGAATTGTTGTGAAGTTTCAGAACATGGGCAGTCCTCTGGCAGACAGATGAACGTGTTGATCTATTAGATCTTTTAGGCTCTATGATTTAGACAAAGTAGTACTATTATAATGGTTTACAGACTTCAGTGCCTCATTTTAGGGCTTCACTGTTCAGTCCATGATATCACAGCAGCTCTAGAGCAGAACTCCATTGCTACAATTTGTTCTGTACAAAAGGTACAAGTACAGCATAATGCTAATTATTATACAGTCAGTGTAATACCCCTATACCCAGACCACTATACTTGCAGTTAAATCAGAAAATAAGTAGAAGATTACAAGTAACTGAGGTTAATTTTTTTTTTAAATTCCATTCATACCAAATATGACTTTATAACCTTATATACTGCAGGTTGTTGCTACAAATTTACTTCTTGAACTGAATCTTGTATCATCATAAGCTCTGGTGGTAGGAGACATGTAAGCAGTTCTAGACATACTATAGTATTCTTCAGAAAAAGAGCAATCTTTTTTTTTTAAAAAAAATAAAAATCTTGCAGTTAATATCTCATTAAACATGAAGGGAAAATCTCCCAGAGAATTCCTTTTGCTCTGACTTCATAATAAATAAATTCCTGTGGAGAAAATGCTTTATTTAAAGTTCATTGGTTAGGTTCCCTGAAATCCACAGTTCTCTATCACCTTTTCTACTTAGTGTAGATGCTACATCTGATGTTCCGTGGTCATAACTATAATGTCTCTCCCTGTGTCACTTTAATTTGCCTTTTCCTGCGATGGAGCAGCTCTTGACATTACATGTGTTTCATTTAAGATATTCCATGTTTCAGTCAACTGTATTTGCTGTGTTTGCTCTCCAGTCTTTAAGGAAGCAAAGAACAGAAAAAGAAAAGCAGCCTGAGGTGACTTGTTTGGGCTCCTACATAGCAAATATGTCAGAAGAATGTTATTAATTGCTCCTGTATTTGTTACTCTCAATGCAATTGCTTACAGCATTTCTGCACTTTTCAAAACAAATGAATTAAGGTAGGTGGCTGACTAATCTCTGGGACCTGCTGCCCTACTGAGTAGCTCTCAGACCACCTGGGATAGACTATGGTGTCCCACTGAGGAAGTGTTGTACCTCCTTGCCCAGGGAACTTGGACTCTGGCTAGCAGAAGACCAGAAATCTGATAGTCTAATGCCCAAAGCTGTGGTCTGTTCAGCAGCCACTGAGTACCATCAAGTGAAGCTCACTCAGACTAGCTACCTCATTCTTAGTGTATTTATTTGAATTTGTAAGGTGTTTCCTGGAAAAAAAAGCTTTTATGAGGGGTCTGTATATGTTCAGAGTCTTTGCAGGGGTGATTTGGCAAGATCATACCTTTTGTCTCTGAACTGTCAGGAGAGTACACCCAGCCATTTGAATATTTGTGAATGGACTATAACTGCATAAATATGAGTTTCAGTTTAATTAAGAATTTAGTGGAGCTTGTGTGAAAAATATTTGCATGTTGTCCCATCTTCAGTCACAGCTCTGCCTGTATCATGGGCTCAGAATAGCACTTCAGACTTTAGACTGGCATAACAAATATTTCAGAGTCACTGAATGTGGTTATCACTGTGGATAGTTTACTTGGTTTTCTCAGCATTTAAAAATGATACTTGTCACCTATTCCACAGAAGTCTTTTCACTACCCTGCCAACTTCTAGAAGAGAAGAATGACTTCATATTGGTTTGAGGTGTTTCAAAAGTTATATGAGGAGAAATGCCGCTGGGTTTTTTTGTTTTGCTTTGTTTTTTTCAGGAATATTAGCTAAGGTATGCACTTCACTTCTAAATAAGCTATAATTCAGGAATCATTTATGTAATCTCTCTACAGCAGTAATGTTCAGAAATATATATTCACATTTGAAAATGCTGTAGCACCAGTACATCTCAATAGCCTTTTTGAAGAGCTTAATCTATGGCAAAGTCCAGAAAGCTATTACCATGCTTGGAGCAGAATCTGTTTTAGCATCTGAAAAAGAATGTCTTGCTATCTTAGTTTTCCAAAGTCCTTCTACAGTGAAGAGTGTTCAAGTGAGAAATCCTCCCAGTGAAGATGCCTGTAGAGATGTCTGTCTCTGATGATTATAGAAGAAGCACCTTTAATCTAAGCACCTTGCAGCAGATGTTTGAGACTTAGAAAGTTAGGTGAGATGAATCCTTTTGCTTACATTTACATATCAAGCTTCTGCAGTGTGGATTTCCAGAACTTGACCTTTCAAGCTTAACCTGATATCTGAGCCAGTGGCTGAAGCCAGACTCCCTGGCATTTCCCACTGTGCTGGTTGATGTGAAAAGGCTTAAGGAGTCATATCCAAAACAAGAACATCTATTTACCATGCTGTGTTCATGTGGACATCAACACTGCAAATCAGCATTATGCAAACAAACTCAAAGTAATCACTTAGGCTAGTAACTCTTAGGCCTTTACTGTTCCACCTCCTGAAAGCTGTTCTTTGTCGGTTTAAAATACGAATGTCATTTTGCCTTCTCTCCAACGGGAGGTCCACAGGGG